GTCAAAAGATTACAAAGGTACATAATGGGTCCAGGGACTGGACCCCAAAGTTATGATAGCTGAACTAGTTACAAAGGTAATGAACTCCAGGTAGATCTGATCACAATCATGGAAAGTTACACAGGTAATGAAACAGCCTCACTCCTATACATGGTTACAGTCATGAACAAATTACAAAGTAATGAACCACTGATACGTCCACACCTGGTCACAATTGTAATAGTTATAAATACAAATATTAAGTGGATCATACATCCACACTAGCGCGCGCGCGCACACACACACACACACACACACACCCGAGGGCGCACGCACGGACATATGCACACGGGAGTACAAATATATGCATACACACAAGCACGAACACACACACACACACACACACGCACACACACACCCGCACACACACCCGCACACACACCCACACCCACACACACACACCCTCACACACACCCACACACACACCAACTGGCTCCTTGAGTTTAACCCTGCCAAATGCAACGTCATGAAGATTGGGGAAGGGCAAAGAAGACCGCAGACACAATATAGTTTAGACGGCCAAAGTCTGCAAACCTCACTCAAGGAAAAAGATCTGGGGGTGAGTATAACACCGAGCATATCTCCCGAGGCGCACATCAATCAGATAACTGCTGCAGCATACGGGCGCCTGGCAAACCTACGGATAGCGTTCCGATACCTCAGTAAGGATTCGTTCAAGACTCTGTATTCCATTTACGTCAGGCCCATACTGGAGTATGCAGCACCAGTTTGGAATCCACACCTAGTCAAGCACGTCAAGAAATTAGAGAAAGTGCAAAGGTTTGCAACAAGACTAGTCCCAGAGCTACGGGGATTGTCCTACGAAGAAAAGTTGAGGGAAATCGGCCTGACGACACTGGAGGCAAGGAGGGTCAGGGGAGACATGATAACGACATATAAAATACTGCACGGAATAGACGAGGTGGACAAAGACGGGATGTTCCAGAGATGGGACACAGGCACAAGAGGTCACAATTGGAAGTTGAAGACTCAGATGAATCAAAGGTAACATTCATTGACAACTGGGACCTCTTCTATGGCAGAAATGACATGTATGCTAGGGATGGGGTTCACTTATCTAGGTGTGGGGTGGGAGCACTGGCAACTGCAGTGGAGGGAACAGTTAGGACTTTAAACTAGGAATAGTTAGTGGTATGGGTTTTGGCAGGAAAACAGTGAAGTCCCAGTGTAGTAATATTACGAGTTCGAGGGGATCTAGTAATAATAAGAACGAGATAGATATTGAAAAGCCAGGGACCTTGGGTGATAAGGACAGTAATAGGTTTAGTAGAAAAATAGAAACGAGCAGGAAGGGTAAAGAGAAAGGAGAGTCTTTCAATGTTTATTATGCTAATTGCCGTAGTGCTAGGAATAAAATGGACGAGTTGAGATTAGTTGCTAGTGTAGGTAACATTGATGTATTTGCCTTAACTGAGACGTGGTTTAATTCAAAAAGTCGGGACATGCCTGCGGAATGTCATATTCAGGGTTTTAAATTGTTCCAAGAAGACAGAGTATTGGGAGGGGGGTGGGGTGGCATTGTATGTCCGAGATCGCTAGAACTGTTGCATAAAAACGGGTATTAAGTCTGAAGTAACACATACAGAGTTGTTTGGATAGAATTTCAGAGGGCAGGAAAAATTGATTTTAGGTGTGATTATACCGTCCCCCAAACTTAGTAGGGACCAAGGGAAACTACTATGGGAGGAAATTGTTAAGGCCACAAGGCACGATAATGTAGTAATTCTAGGAGACTTTAACTTTAGTCATGTTGATTGGAATTTCTTGACTGGGAACTTAGAATCATACGACTTCTTAGAAGTATTTCAGGATTGTTTTTTGAAGCAGTTTGTGACAGAACCTACAAGGGGAAATAACCTGCTTGACTTAGTTATGGCAACAATGAATCCCTTGTTAATAATTTAGAAATTTCAGAGGAACTGGGTACTAGCGACCACAAATCAATTACATTTAGCATTGAATGGAAGTACGATAGTAGCGATAACTCAGTAACAGTCTCAGATTTTGCGCTTAGCAGATTACGATGGGCTTAGAGAACACTTATCATCTGTTGCTGGGGTAACGAAGAGAGCTATCAATATGACAGTTTTCTGAACACTATACATGCTGCTCAAAGAGCGTTTATCCATATAAAGAAATTAGATCAAATAGAAATGACCCAAAAGGATGAATAATAGGCTCAAATATCTACTAGGGCATAAGAAAGGAATTTATAGGCGTATCAAAAGAGGTGAGGGTCATCTTATGAATCAGTATATTGACAATAAGAGGGACATTAAAAGGGGATAAGAAAAGCTAAAGGGACTATGAAATTAAAGTTGCTAGGGATTCTAAAACTAACCCAAAAAGTTTTTTCCGGGTCTATAGAACAAAAGTTAGAGATAAGATAGGTCCCCTTAAAAATAACTATGGGCACCTTACTGACAAAGAGAATGAAATGTGCTTGATTTTAAATAATATTTTCTCTCAGTTTTTACACAGGAAGGACACTAACAATATTCCAGTAATTAATTTTTACAGTGGGCTAGAAGAAGATAAATTATGTAACATCACAGTCACTAGTGAGATGGTTGTGAAGCAGATAGACTGAAGCAAAATAAGTCGCCGGGTCCTGATGAGGTTTTTTTCAAGGGTTCTTAAGGAATGCAAAATGGAACTCTGTGAACCATTAAAATATTTTTAATTTATCTCTTCAAACAGGTGTAGTGTCTGATATGTGGAAGATGGCTAATGTAACTCCTATTTTAAAACAGGGGACAAGTCGTTACCGTCAAATTACCGCCAATAAGCCTGACCTCAATTGTAGGCAAATTACTAGAGTCAATTATAGCTGAGATTATAAGAAGCCATCTCGATAAGCATAGCTTGATTAATGATACTCAGCATGGATTCACAAGAGGCCGGTCTTGTCTAACTAATTTATTAACTTTTTCAGTAAAGCTTTTGAGGCTGTTGACCACAATAAAGAATTTGATATTATTTACTTAGATTTTAGTAAGGCTTTGATAGAGTTCCGCACCATAGACTGTTAAAGAAAGTGGCAGCTCATGGCATTGGGGGAAAAGTGCTCTCGTGGATCGAGTCATGGCTCACTGACAGGAAGCAGAGAGTGTCCATAAATGGGGTTAAATTCCGAGTGGGGATCTGTAACAAGTGGCGTTCCACAGGGATCAGTCTTGGGCCCGTTGTTGTTTATAATATATATCAATGATCTTGATGAGGGAATTACTAGTGATATGAGCAAATTCGCCGATGACACAAAGATAGGTAGGATAATTGATTCAAACGTAGATGTTATGGAACTTCAGGAGGATTTAAACAAACTCTATTCTTGGTCAGAAAAGTGGCAGATGCGTTCAATGTAGATAAATGCAAGGTTCTGAAGCTTGGTAAGTGCCCATAACCCTAGTACTTATAAGTTAAATGATGTAGAACTTAGCCATACAGATTGCGGAAAAGGACTTGGGGGTTATGGTGAGCAGCAACCTTAAACCAAGACAGCAGTGCCTAAGCGTACGTAATAAGGCAAATAGATTACTGGGATTTATATCAAGAAGTGTAAGCAACAGAATACAGAGGTCATACTGCAGCTTTATACATCATTAGTAAGGCCTCACCTAGATTATGCAGCTCAGTTCTGGTCTCTGTATTACAAAATGGACATAAATTCGTTAGAAAACATTCAGCGTAGGATGACTAAATTAATACATAGCATTAGAAATCTTCCTTATGAAGAAAGATTGAAGACTCTTAAGTTACATTCACTTGTTAGACGAAGAATGAGGGGAGACCTGATCGAAGTGTATAAGTGGAAGATAGGTATTAATAAAGGGGATATTAATAAGGTCTTGAGGATGTCTCTCCAAGAGAGAACCCGCAGTAATGGATTTAAATTAGATAAGTTTAGATTTAGAAAGGACATAGGAAAGTATTGGTTTGGAAATAGGGTAGTTGATGAGTGGAACAGTCTACCTAGTTGGGTTATTGAGGCTGGGACTTTTTATGTAGTTTCAAATCTAGGTTGGATAAGTACATGAGTGGGAGGGGTTGGATTTGAGTGGGACTTTCACATCAGAGCTTATTTCTTGGGTGGCATTGAAAATTGGGTTGGGCAAATGTTTTGTTAGTGGGATGAATTGTAAAGGACCTGCCTAGTATGGGCCAGCAGGCCTCCTGCAGTGTTCCTCCTTTCTTATGTTCTTATGAAGTATTTCTTCAGTCATAGAGTAGTCAAGCCGTGGAATAGCCTAGAAAGTGAAGTAGTGGAGGGGGGAACCATACATAGTTTTAAGGCGAGGTATGATAAAGCTCATGGAGCAGGGAGAGAGAGGACCTAGTAGCAATCAGTGAAGAGGCGGGGCCAGGAGCTGTGACTCGACCCCTGCAACCACAAATAGGTGAGTACACACACACACACACACACACACACACACACACACACACACACACACACACACACATACACATGGTAATGCATTATTTACAGCTAGCAAAGTCAAGGTATTTCTCCAGAATGGTCTGTAATATACCACTGTGGATAAAATACTTTGCCATTTCTTGAACATTTCTGAGTGAGTTGTTTCTAAATTCATTAATCTGGTCACACTCCAGTACATAATGACGCAAGGTGTGACAATAGTCCATCTGGCAAAGTTTACATTTCGTTTGGTCTACATCTGGTGGTGGTGATTTAACCTGCCATAGATACTTGTAACCCAGCCGGAGCCGGGCAGTAGTGACATCCAAGAGTGCTTATCTTGTTGGATGCACCATAGACATGTGGCTCCTCCTGCATGATGGAATGATACCACTATCATCTCCACTTCTGTATTTCTTCCTCTTCTCTTTGTCCCATCCCTGCCCTCCTCTCGTACATATTCTGGAAGAGGGTGAGGGGGGTGTGAAGAAAGGTGAGGAGTGTGAAATATGTGTTAACTAACCTATCTCGACGTAAGGGCTGAAGGGAAGGACGAGTGCGATGACGAGGGCACCGTGGGAGGCCAGTTTAGCGTGTATATCCGTGAGGAGGGTCCTGGGAGTGTCGCAACGGTCAAGCAGATTCAGGCAGGTGACCACATCGTACTCAGCGTCTTCCACATCCTTCATCCATGACCAAGCATCCAGCACCCTGTTGACGTATAACAAGACTTTTTAAAGAATGAACGAGCAGTCAACTCCCGATCTACAGCTCATTAGTCTGTCAGACTTACTAATGAACATACTACTTACAATATAAATCACAAGTTTTTTACAGCACTTAAAAAAATCCTGCTTGTAATGTGTGGATGCTTGTGGCTCAGTTGATAGCGTTCTGAGTTCAAACACTGAGGAACCATCAATCGATCGGGTTACGAGTGAAACGTTGGGCATATTTCATCACAGCTGCTGCCCTGTTCACCTAGCAGTAAATGGGTACCTAGGTCTTAATCAACTGTTCTGGGTCGTACCCTAGGGAAGAAGATTAAAGGACCCCAATGAAAATAAGACAGTCCCCGATGAAGCACCGACTTTACTGGATTATCCTGAGTGGCTAATCCTCCGGGTTAAAAATCCCACCAAGGGTGTGTTTCTTCCTGTAGCCAGTACGGCTTAGTGATCAGTGCGTCCATTCTTCAAAAAGTTACAAAGATTCTGAATTTTCGAACGCATATAACAATGCAACAGTGAAACAAGAATACCTTTAGTTACATAGCGTGAATGTCTTGCGCTTAATAGACGGACTACCAATCCCACATGGGTTAGCTCTTCAAATACATGAAAACGCCTTTAAACAATGAACTGGTAACCCAGCCCAAAACCTCAGATATAACCAACAGCTCCCCTCAGCGGGATATTAGACTATGAAATAAAGGTTAAGAGAAACTTTTCCTGAAAAATAAACCGCCCTCCCTTATATTCCCTGCGGTGTCACCATCTACGAAGTAACTCCAGCTTGGCACTGAGTGCCTGAGATGGCCAGGAACATTGAACTAAAGCGATTCGGAGCACAACACTCCATGCTGGTGTTGGTGACAACCCAATGGCTAGTTCTTCACAGAATCTATAGCCTTGAATAGTCAGTCCAGATGACAGGAAAGCAGGTTCTTTACCACTACAAAGATGAGGGGTTGTTGTCTGCTGTCGCCTACAGTTAATCAAGTAGGTAGATCCAAAAAAATGACGTCTCGGGACTTTTGCAAAAATCCTTCTCCTTCAACACTTCTCGTTGGTTGGCAGGTGACCCGATCTGTCATTCCAAGCTGGAAAGAGAGACAGGTTACCCACTGCTTAAGAAATCACTCTCCATGATAAGTACAATACCTAAAAGACGTGGTGACTATCAAAACATCTAACATGGAGATCAAGGCTGAAAGGACTAAGTTTATTATTGGTCAAAAGTGAAGCTTTCAACCAATAAGTCCACTAGAATAAAAGAAGGCTTTTACTTACAGTTGTGCTGGGAGCTGTGAGTCAAGTTTGGCCGGAGCCCCACACGTCACCTTTCGGGGTGGGGAGAAAGGGGGGGGGGATAGTGGGAGCTACACTTACCCTACCTTAACAAGCAGCCGGCAATCGAACTATCGTTACCATATACTCGCTCACTACTCCTATCTGTTGAACTTTTCCCTCACATCTCTTGAAACTATCATTTCAAAACACCATTAATTTAAGATAAGGATGAAATAGACAAAAATTTAATAAAACCGTGCAGACGTTAATGTACAGTAGACCATGTGTACATTTATAACCATCTAGGTATACCATGGTCACCTTTACTAACTGGATACATTCGCTGCCTGGATGAGGTAGAGTGCGGTCGTGCTTTGCACCCCTCTACTGTTTTCCCAGACGAGCTACTCAGTCAACAATATGGCGCCAGGTGTGCGCAGGAGAGTGAATACTGTGGGCATTGAACTCATTAGTGGGGCTTTAACGCCTACGTCTGTCGATGTGTTATTGCCCAAAATTATAAAAGAGGCATACGGCATCAGAGACGAAGATTTGTATGGAGTGGCACTGAACGGTGTATATAGAATATTCGTGAAAGTGCTAACTGCTCAAGTATACGAGGAGTTGGTGGATCTTTACCAAGATGTCAGCATTAACGTAACACCGGCAGTGAGGGTCAAGTTGACGGATGTATCACGACATTATTCATGGGTCAAGCTCCGCAACGTGCCTTTTGAGGCTGATGAAGTAGATATTCGAAATGTTTTCGAACGTTATGGAACTGTACATCTAGCCCAACCTGGCAAATGGGTAAAAGGAGCTTACACAGGATTTCCTGAGGGTTCTTTTAATCTCAAGATGACGCTAAGGCATCCTATACCCTCGTATGTATATCTCGAGGAGTTTAGAACCCAGGTAATGGTAGCGTATGTGGGGCAGAGGCGTATGTGCCGACTGTGTGGCGAATATGACCATATGGTGGCAGACTGTGGCAAGCGGAGTATGGCTCCTGGGCCGACAAGGGGCGGAGCACCTGCGCATGAGAAACTGATGCCTAAGGAAGAACGAGGGCAAGGAGGAGGATGTGGTCGCATGTGGAGTGAAGAGGTGGTGGCTCCTCCTGTGGAATCGGAAGGAGAAGTGGTGATCCATGAATCACTCTGGCCCATCAACAGTACAGTTGTCAAGTGAGGAGGTGCAGGAGGGCGCAGCAGTGAAAGCTATTGAGGAGTAGTTAGAGACAGTGATACAGGCTATGTTACAGTCTACGGAGGTGGAGAGTCACAGCGAGCAGGAACCTGGGATCAAGGCAGAAGGTGTGTGCAGGGGATGAGGATCAGGTGGCACCTATGATGGACAGTGCGAGTGCCATGGAAGGACATGGAGGCGTATTAAGGGTGGTAGAGGTGGAAGTCCATTGTGCTGGCTCCCAGGACTCAGATATGGAAACTGAGGGAGCTACAAGGAAAAGGGCAGCAGCGTCTGATTCGGATGTTCTGACGCTGGCACAAAGGCAGGGGAAAAAGACATGGGGTTATGGTACCCAGAGTGACTCTACGAGAGGGCCGCAACAGAAGTGGGGGGATGGTTGAGAAGGAGGGTGGAGTATGTGGCAAAGGCAAAGCTCAGGGGAACAGTCTGAAAGGGAAGAGTCTTGACATGAGGTGGGGAGGGAAACCTTAAACCGGCCTCAGGTGTGTAACAATAAATATTAATGGTCTGTGTGATGGTGTTAAACGTGAGTGCTTCAGGATGTTTTTGAATAGGTACAAGGTTGATGTAGCTTTTGTGCAGGAGCACAATTTTAAGCTTGGTCGTGAATTAGTGGTGCCTGGGTATCAGGCTTATGTGTTGCCATCTGAGCGTTTAAAAGGAGTGGGTGTGTTGATCAGGGAGGCGAGCCCGTTTGTATTGCATAGGAAAGAGCGGGGGGGGGGGAGAGTATTACGTGTGGAAGGATGGTGGATGGGAGAGAGAGTGACATTTGTGTGTGTGTATGCCCCAGCAGACAGTGACGTGAAAGTAAAGATGGATTTTGTGAGGGAGGAGCTTGTGTACTACCTACGCACGTTACCATCTGTGGCGATTGTGGGTGGGGATTGGAATTGTGTAGTTAAGAGGGCAGACATGGAACCCAGAGGAGCGGGATATTTTTCCTGCTTAAAGATCTTCAGTTACGTGATGCTTTCGGGGAAAGTCTGTGGGAGGTGGAACATACATTTATAAGACTGGGACATGCGGCTCGTTTGGACAGGTTATATTTATCTCAGAGGGTTTTGGTAGAGTCTTTTAAAACTATTGCGATGGTGTCTTCCGATTGTAGGGCGGTATTAGTGGAGGTGGGGTGGGATGCTTTGGCTCGTAGGCAGGGAAGTTATTGGAAACTGAACACGATGGTTTTGGGGGATAGGGAGGGAGTGGAAGGTTTTGCAATATTTTGGGAACAGCTCTGTGCAGACAGAGGGACTGAGGAGGATGTGGTAGGATGGTGGGATAGTGTGGCTAAGGTAAGAATGCGTCAATTTTATGTGAGGGAGGGCAAATGCATTAATCAATTGCGGTATGGTTTGTCAAATTATTTATAAACCAGATTACGGGATTGTTACGAGGGGGGAGGGCGGTGGCCGGGGTGTACCCAGTGGAGGATATACACATGTTGAAGGAGAGGATAAGGGATTTGCAAGAAGAACGTTTTGCAGCGGTACGGGTACAGGCGGAGTTGGACGAAGTACTCTGGGGTGGCAAGCCATCGGCTTGTGTGCTGCGAGGACAGAAGGTACGACAGCGAACGACTACAATACCGAGATTGCAAGTCATTTCTTCGGTGGGGGGTTTTAGAGAGGGTCAGGTATTACGGGAAACCACGGGGATGAGTGCATATGCAGATAGATGGTTTGAGGAATACGGGAAAAGTAGTGGGGTGGACGGTGAGGTTCTTGGACAGGTATGTGAGTATGTGCCGTGCAAACTGGGGAGGAGTGATCGGGAGGCACTGGGTGGGGTCATTGAGGAGGAAATATGGAGAGCCCTTATGGACATGAGGAAGGGAAAGGCACCCGGGATCGATGGTTTACCAAGCGAATTTTATGTACAGCACTGGGGCTGTCTTAGGGGTTTTTCCCAGTAAGGTTTTAAAGAATGCCATGAAAGAAGGAGGTAAGATGGGAGAATCTCAGGCAACGGCGGTGGTGGTGTTGGTCCCGAAGGGTAAACAGCAGAGTACCCTTCGGGGGTTTCTGAGCCATTCCATTGCTTTGTGCTGATTATAAATTGTTTTTCAAAAATTCTTGGGAATGGCTTAAATGTGTTGTGGGGAGGGTCGTGTTTGAGTCTCAGTTTTTGGGTTACCTGGTAGGTCAATGGGCGAGGGCCACAGGATCATAAAGGGGTTCCTGGAGGACATGGAAAGGGGAAAAAAGGGGCGTTTGGGGGCGTTGGATTGGCAAGGGGCTTATGACAGGGTGGAAAGAAAGGCTTTGAGGGACATTCTCCTACGACAGGGGTTTGGCGAAGAAATAGTGGGGTGGGTGGATACGTTGTACTCAAACGCGAAGGTAAGGGTGAAAATCAATGGGTGTGTGGGGGAGGGAGTCAACATGGAGCAGGGTCTTCGGCAGGGATGTCCATTATCACAACTATTGTTTGCATGTGTTCAGGATCCCTTTTATAGGATGGTGGAGGATCGTCTAAGGACAAGGG